GTTCACTCATATTTTGCTTCTTTTTGCGACGGAGACTGATGAATGTCTCGTATCCGATCATCAAGCTCGCCAATGGACTAATCTACTCGACAAAGCCGCTCCCGGCTGCCACGGATCCGGTGTAAGCTTCAGAGGAGACATGGCTCGGTCGCGCGATTCGGCAATGCTTCTCTTGTCCGAGCTCCGCTTCTCGTTCGAATGGCTGTCAGAGCGACTACTGGGAGAGCCTGACTACGCGCCGCTTTTTCTCGGTGATACCCCTTCCAACAGTCCGCTCTAATGACCAATGTTGTTCTATGGCTTCGAACGGAGCTTTCTACTCGAATGAGTCTATTATGCCAGGCGTTCGCCGTAGCCGCCCGTCTGGAAAGCCGACCGGTCCACCAACTGCCTGGCAGGCTGTCTGTCTGTCAGTCTGAATCGACTCCACTCAGTTCGGCTTTTCTCGCTCAACTCTTCTCGCGTCACGATCCGAGAGGCCGTCCGTGGAATTGTAGTTGTTCCCCGAATTCTTTGCACAATCGATATTGGCCCCACTCTCGGCGCCGGTTCCGGTTCTCCCGTCATTCAGACGCATCCAGCAATAGAAGAACGAAAGTCAGGTGATTGTGTCAAGAAGCGGCGCGGGGCTTCTTCTCGGAAATTCGGTGTATTCTCTCCTGAAATCTCGAGCCAAGTATTTTTTGACACATCTGGGCGGCTCCGAAGAGTTCTGCCCGAGTGAGAAAATTCCACAATGAGCACATGAGAGAGAACAGGCAAGCCCGAGAGGAATTATTCGACTGATCCTTGCCCATCCGAAATACAATTGATCTCACAATTGAGATACAATTGAGCCCCCTCCCTAACCGAAAGATTAGCCCGCAGTACGTTGTGAGCAAACACTCGCTCTTGAAAAGAAAGCGGTAGAACCGGCTCAACGTGACGCGGCCAGTTTTTATTGCTCGAGATAAAAGTCGCTGTAAATCACAGCGAGTGGAAAAACAGGTCGGAAGATTTATCCCGCTTTCTTTGGGAGAAGACGGTGCCTTATGATTTCGCATACGATCATTCTTCTCCAGACGCTGGGGAAGGGAGAAATACTTCAAGAGCTCGAATTACTCACTCTCGAGCGGAAGTCGGCCACTGCGTCGAAGGAAAAGCCCAGGGTCGAGAAGGGGGGAGGAGGAGGTCCGACGTGCCCGTCTTACGAGAACCGTGAGGAGAATTATAAGGGCAGCAATTGTCGCTACAGTGTGACAGTCCTCGTACTTTCAGCCAGGACTCGGTGATAAGAATTTCAAGCGACAGCGAAGCATATGCAGGGAGTACCCCCTGCATCCCCGAATCCCCGGGATTAGACTAAGGATATCGGAGGGGGGGGGGAGAAGTCCTCATAATGGCGAGAGAGAAAGGCTTAAAAGGAATGCGAAACGGTTGAACTTTCTCAAGAGCCATGTTGAAGGTCCTGGAGCGAAGTCCGTGGGGAGAGCGTGTTAAAAACATCTATGAAGCTACATGAACGGACCGGACGAGGAGAATCGATGGAGAAGAAGACCGATGGAAATCGAATGAGGAATCAAGGAGAACGGGAACAAGAACTGAGAAAGAGACGGCGAGAATTCAGCAGCCGAGATGGGATAGAGGCTTTCAGAAAGTGGAAGCCAACGATTCGAACGAGTAGGCGGAGAGCATGTGCATTCTGGAGGACTGGTGGAAGAGAAAGATCGAAGAGCTTCAGCATAAAGACTTCGGACCTAGAACCTGCCTTCCCTGAGGAGTCCGAATATCCTATGATACTCCGGATAATCTCCCAGTCCGTTTGAATTTGGGCAATGTCGCTTGAGGTTCCGAGTGGCGGCGCGGCGCTCGGATACCGCTCCTCCGAATCCGACGCGAATATTCTCGTGTGCAATTCCTCGTACGCATGAGGACACGAAGAACTCGTCGAGCCGCAACCTACCATGGAAGAGCACAGTCCTGTTCGAACGCGTGTTGACACCGTTTCCTCGGCTGGCTTCATCCTCAACAGTGTCTTCCCAGATGCGTTATCGACGACGTCGGCGTCGTTCCCTCGTCTACGCGGCCAATATCCTACTTCCTCGAATGTTTTCCCAGGATCCAGTATTCGAAAAACCTCTTAAGAAGTACCACAAACAAGACGCGCTCTGCTCCCGGAGAACAAGGAAACTCACGCTTGGTTCAGACTGGAGTGAGACGCAGCCACGAAAGCGACATTCCGAGCTCCACACAAACTCTATGTCTCTGACAACGAACACTCCCGGCATGTTGGTTCTTGTTTGAATTTCCTCCGACAGGAGCTGAAAGTCTGCGAGGCACTAATCGCTCGTCGCTCGTCATCGATACGCTATCAGAAAAATCATGAGCAGCGGCTATCGGCCTGGAGTTTTGTTTGCACTTCGCTCTCATAAAATTCCGACATCTTGGATATTACCTGGCTACCTACACCCAGGAAACCTCGGATAGACCCGTCGGTGGACTTCCAGGGGAGTGCTGAACAGATCCGACTGTCTTGAAGGCCGGTGCCTTCAGAATTGCAAAGCGGCGATCGGAAAGCTTCCAGACGATACTGGAAAACTCCGAGGGGAGCAAACGATCGGGTTCGTCACCGACTGACGTAGTCGGACTCGGCCTTAGAGAAGTGAGAAAAAGTCTCTCTTCGAGATCATCTTCGAATCTATTTTTCATCGTTTCGTCTTCGTCTCCTTCCTGCTTCCTAAGAGGAAACGGCATAGACAGACGTGGAGACCGAAAGACGGAAGACACGTTGCACTGGCGTCGAAACAAAAGGCTCCAGTGATGATCGCGCTCTCCAGCGGTAGCGGCGACGACCGAAGGCGGTCAGAGGGGTCGGGGAGGGGTTCGAGAGACTTCGAACGGAGCCGTGACGATCTTTCTATCAATTCCCTCAGATCTATTCCTACTTTTCCTCATGTCGACGTCCCTCCTTCCGGAGCTTGTTCCTAACGTCTTCCGCAACGGCTCGTTTCACCCTATGATACACTTCTCCCGGGTCTCCTCCAACAACAATGATGAAATACTCGTTCTGCTCGGGAGGCTCTAGTAGAGGTAAGAACACGATCCGAAGCAGCGGACGACCCCCAGAGAAGGTCACAACCCCATGCATCTTGCCATCTAGAGATCCCAAAAAAAATGCGCTCAGCGCTCGCGACCCGTGCATGGAGTCGTAATGTCGTATCACATCGGTCCTGGAAATATTGTTCTCAAATTATCATTCTCAGCCCCGCTCTCCGTCATTCCGATGTGCCCGCTTACCCGCATCCGGAAACTCTTCGAGAGTCTCGTCTTCGATCATGACCCATTCAGCGACCTAAAAGGTCAAGATTCGATCATCTGCTCGACAGCAAAACGGGCAAACGCAACAGTGCGGTCAATCGATCGATCGATCGATCCATCCATCAAGCTATACTCATCCTTTTTCCGGACTTCTATCGGATCTATCGGACTCTCAAGATGGAGGACGGATTATCTTCTCGTATCGCTGACCTTGGCCTCAACGAAGGGAACCGGATCTTCTGAGTGATTGATTCTCCCATATTCAATTGGCCTCGAGATTCGCGGTGGCTGGTAGCAGGTCGTGGACTGACCCATAGATTGAAGATATCGGTTTCGTCATCTCATCCGGTTTCATTGTCATCATTGTTTTTCCTGACTCTATCCTGTTCCTTCTGCCTCTGCCCTGATTCTTCCCACGCAATGAGTTCCTTGGTGGCCGCAATGCACGGGTGCCACCGGGGCGAATCAGGATTATCCTGATCCTCGCGTCCTTCGAGTGACTCGGTCATTGCCCGATTTGAGCCCGAAATTCGTGCTTTCTATCGCGCTCATCCTCTCATCTCGGTACTCAGATCCGACACACCGCATGCTGCAGAAGTTTTCTCGAAACGTTTGCTATTCTTCTTTCCGCCATTGCGGCCGGAGCGCCGCAACAAAATGTTACTCGTGCTCGTTGCGTGTTTGTTCAATACACAACACGAGTCTCTCGTCAAGGGCGAGGGAGGAATGAGGAGGCCGCTGGAAAAATTGAAGCTCGGCTACGAGGGTCTCCTATTTCAGTAGAGTGGAGCGCGGCTGGTCGGTCTGAGCCTCTGCGGTGGCAGCAGGACGCACTTCCGAGACGTCGGATCGAGACGCGATTCCGGTGGGAGCGAACAGAAAAACGCTCATTCGGCCGAAGAGAATGCATGAAGGGACAAATGAAACGAGGACCGGGGAAAACCTCCGGGAAATGGAGTTTTGAACAGATCACCCCAGGAAAAGCTTCATCATAAAACTTTCATCGACCGGTCGCACTCCACGGCCAGCATTGATCGGACAATTTAGCTTTGGACCGAGGGAGAAGATTGACTTCCGAATGATGAGCTAGAGCCCTCGAAAAATTCGGGCTCACTCCGATCAGTCCGAGGAACCGGGAGGGTAGGGGTTCGCTTGGCCCGATGTACATCTGATTAGCGATAACACTATCCCAGGCCAACGACGCTGACCAATCTTGGAAGACTCCCGTCCCATCCAAGAGCTCACAGGAAACGTGAGCACCCCATGTTTATGCATATCCCACATTCCATTACGTCTCGTATATGTATTTACATATCCTCCTTGAGACATTCCTACACGATCATTGACTTTTCGATTAGGATGTCGGCGAGCACTCCACGAAAATCTGCTCGGAGCAGATTTTCCCCGTCGTCGTAGAATATCCTGCCCGTGGCAGGCAAACGGCCTGAGGATCTGTGGGACCGCCAACATAAGGCAATCATTATCTTCATCAGAACTGTTGAATCAGTCTCTCTCGTTTTCGCCAGTCCCGGCTGTTCCGTCTGTTCATCTGCATGTCTACGCGAGGGATACAACTGCTCAAATGCATCAGACGGAAGTATGCTGAGTGCTACAGGACAGAGATCCTATCCCGAAAACCTCACGATCATTATGCCTCCATCGATTTTCGTTCGCAGCGACTCCAATGATCGCAGATGCTCGCTTGATGATTCTCTGGTGAGAATTGACTTGTGATTGTTTACAGATGGACTGTGGTACTATCTGCTCGGAACCGTCCTCCGACTTCCATTGCGTCGTCCTTGATGTTCGAGTCCTGATCTGTTCGGACGCTGTCGTCGACCCTGCCGTCGGGGACCTTGGAGGCTATCCGTCCTCGTTTGGTGACTCGATGGAAGTACCATGTGATCAACCAACTCAAACTCGCAACGGCGCATGAGCAGGCGCACACGACGTACATCTGCGAATAGTCTCCAATCGTGTCCCGGAAGTAACCTGCGAGGAATGGGATCACGTTTTTAAAACTATGTCGACACGATCGATCGGGGCGTCATTCCGAACGCGGGAATCGGGAACGAGACAGATTCGAGTAGACCGAGAGCAAAAGCGTCAGTCTCCGAATCTATTCCTGGATTCCAAAGACATGCATGAGGAAATAGAACATATTTTCCCCCTAGGAGAAGACCCATAAATATGAAAGGAATTCCCTATCGTAAACTCCACATGGGGGGAACGGAACGTAGCGCTCTCGAGGCACTCACCGATGAAGTACGGCTTCGTGAGATAAGTCAAGCCAACGAAAAGACCAACAATTCCGTACGCCATCGGTAATCTTTGGATGCCGATTACGTCTGCCATTAGCACTCCATACATGACAATCGAGCTTCCGATCCCGACAGTGTGGAGCATGGCTACAGCTGCGATCAAAGTGAATTCTCCCGTCGTTGCCACTTTCGGCAACACGAATAAGCAAACACTCTGCAGGGCGTACGTTAGGCTTTGTAGTAGCATTTTGTTGATGTAGCCACGGTCCCCGAGCTGCGGTATGGTGAGCCGAGCCACCAAGTCTGTGATCGAGTAGAGAGGTATGATGGTGGTGGCCTTCACGATTGGAACATCTTGATCGACAATAAAGTCGATGATAGTCGTGAAAAACGCATCGTAAGCATAGAAAAATAGAGAGAAGCTGAAAACGATAACGAGAAACTCCGGAATTTTCAAAATGCCCAGACTTTCCATTAGCGACACTCGCTTTGTCTCACTCGGCTTTTCTGCGCGATTCCCAGACTCTGTCGTGGCAGGCGGTGGTTGGTCATTTGGAGTTTCCCCGAGCGATGTCTGACCGTCCGAGACGGTTCGAAGCACCTCTGGAGCGTTCTTCTCTTCCTCATGGGAGGTACTATGTGTCGCACGGGTAGATTCGAGCCTGAGGTCCTCGACATTCCTGTCTCTCTCAGACGCGGATGATCTGATCTTCAACCACGGTGCTTCTCGATGGGTCAGACACAGGACGAAGATATGCAGGAGGAGCGCGCTAAGGATGAGTGCCGTACCCCGGAAGCCGTACTCTCCCAGTAGGTAAGCGTAAAGCATTGGAAACACGAAGCCCGCCGTCGCTGAGCCCGCGTAATTCATGCCGAGAGCCAATGCCCGCATCTTGACGAAGTATTGCTGGAGGTAAATTACATTGGTCGTGTAGATCGTGCCCAGACCGCCACCGAAAACGATGCCGTACGTGAAGGTGAGCCACGTAATGTTGGGTGCGAACACCGATGCGAACAGACCGATGAAAACCAGCAGGGAGCCGCTCACAATGACCGGCTTCAGGGAGAATGCCTGGGCGAGCGGGCCAGACACCGTTCCTGAAAGCTTTCGCTGTGAGGGGCTTCTAAATCCGATGGCAAAGTCCCGAGAGAATCACGAGACCTCCGGTCAGGACACCGTGGATGGTATAATATTCAGGAGCATCGACTAATACCACCTACCCGTCATACTGAGCATCATTCCAGCGAGCGAAACCGGCCAGGCGGCTTCCTCACGTGAGAGTCCGAAAAGATTCCTGATTCCCACATACACGACGCCGGACGAGCGAATGTTGCCTAGAAATGTAACGAAAGTGTCACGATACGATCTGACACGCTCGAAACATCCGCGATTCATCTTTGGAAACCATGCGTGACTCACCGGCTGTCATTCCCATGATGAGCATGCACTTCACAGCCACCCGGATTCCTTGCCAACTGTCGGGACCGGTTTTGGGTAAATTGATCCAGCCCATTTTTCCGACGGATCTCGCTCGTGGGCGGTTCGCGATTTCTAGCTCGACAGCCCAGGAAAATGAAAAATGTCGAAAAAATCGTCACGACTATGCTCTCCGGGACAGTGCCCGAAGGTTTAGGGGCTAAAGCCGGCAATCAGAAACTTGAATTTTTCCTGGCACCTCCTAATCGACGGAGAGCTTTCACGTGCTCAGTAGCCAGTGGATCTTCTCTTTGGAGAGACTGGGCAATCGCGCGTCGCCGATTGTAATTCGACCCGATGGCGAAGGTGTTGCGGCGAACAGTTCTTTTTACAACAACCTGATGAGTCCGGAAGGGATACGTTTGCCGTTCGTCCTCCGGGCTGGCCCAGTCGATCTCGGACCTGATAATCCTCTCTGCTATCTCGAGGAGCACTCATTATTCTTCAACTTGTATTCCTGAGGTCATTGTTTTCTATTTTCGAGAACTGTGGATATTGTGATCTGTGATTTATCTAGTAGTCATTGCGATGAACCCGCAGATTCGAGAATCGCGTGCTGAATGCTGACCTATGATAGCCGCACGTTCTGTGTCCCATCATGGTACGATGATGCCCGGGACTGGTTGTGTATACGCCTCGGCCGAATTCTCGATTTGATGTTTCATGTGTTGGATATTTCAGGCAGCCACTTACGTCATCGGATGATTTAAGCCAAGTCCTCCCATGCTGAGGGCTCCTCGACTTTCTATCTGAATCGGTTGGACGTTTCTGAAACCGGACTCGACCCCGGTTGCTCTGCGTACCTCCGGGGTACCGTACAGGGAATATTTCATTTCGGGAGCGATGCTATGGAGTTTATTCAAGTCGAAAGGGCTGAGCTCTTTACATCTCATCGTCGAGAGGCGAGAGTAGATCTTGTGAGAAGAAGCGCTTGCCGACTTCATGGGCGAGTGTCCGACCCAGTGTGAATTTTATTTGGGAGATAGGCGACAAAAAATCCCAGACGAGTCCTACACGATCGATACCCGCAAACTTTATTCGGCTGCTGGCATTCAGGTTCTCTGATTCCCCCGCTGATTAGGCTAGAATACCTGACCTGCAGGAATCATCAAGCATCGCGTTGATTTCAACTCTGTCACTTGTAAGTCAGGCAGCAACCTATATCTTCACTACCGGAGCTGAGGGAAATTCACAGGAAGGATTCACGAAGGAAAATACACATTAGAGGATCGGGATGAGCTCCAGCTGACCCCCCTATTAGGAGGGACCGACTTTTTCTACCGAGTCAGACGGACTTCGAGTACGGAATCGTCGATCCTTGTGACTTGAGGGAAAGGAACTGATTGAGCCTGCTCAGAGATGGGCGACAGTGCTATCCGTTCGAGATCTCCGTTCGGCGCTCTCCGCATCCACGTCGATTTTCGTTGGCTCATTGGCTTCAATAGTGACGTTCGAGGGCTTCAGGTCGCGCTGAGTATTCCTATAGAAGTACCATGTAACAAGCCAGCTCGCGCTCGAGACAGCTGTCAGAACGCCGCAGACGATGTACATCAGCGAGTAATCTCCAATCGTGTCTCGAAAGTGACCTAAGACAGAGGGAGAATAAACATACTTTACATGTTCATGACCTTCGATCTAATCCCGAAAATTATTCCTCCAAGAAGAGCTCCAGGGAAACAAGCTATGGATTTTCTAGCTCGGCAGAGACAGACATGTCCCGGAAATGTCGAAAACGGCGGGCAAAGAACGGGCGACATACTTACCAACGAAAAACGGTTTCGTGAAATATGTCAAGCCCACGAAAAGACCCACGAAACCGTAGGCCATCGGCAACCTCGAGACGCCGACCAGCTCGACCATGAGAACTCCATACATGACGATCGAAGTTCCAATTCCGATACTCTGAACCATGGCCAGAGCTGCGATCCAGAAGAACTCCCCCGTAGCGGCAGCCATCGGCATCGTGAAGAAGCAGACGCTTTGCAGAGCGTACGCGAGGCATTGCAAGAGCATTTTGTTGATGTAGCCACGGTCTCCAAGCTGCGGTATGGTAAGTCGGGCGACCATGTCCGTCGCTGAGTAGAGAGGTATGATCGTCGTCGCTTTGATCAATGGAATGTCCTGATCTACGATAAAGTCGATTATCGTCGTAAAGTACGCGTCGTAGGCGTAGAGAAAAAGGGAGAACGTGAATATCACCACAAGGAATCCCGGGATTTTCAATACGCTCAGACTCGACACTAGAGACGCGATCCGACCCTGAGGCTTCGCTTTCTCCTCGCCGACCTCTGGTATCTCTGCACAGACGCTGCCGGCAACAGAGACCGATGCCACGTAAGTCGGACGGTTCCGCGTTTCTTGTGGATGCTCGGGGGGCTGCGACTCGAGTTCGGCGTCCTCGGCGGAAACATTCGAGCCGACCGTTGCTTCGGGTTGAGCTTCTGGAACTCCTTGCGGCATTTCTCTAACGATGTTGGGAAGCTCCTTCGACTCCGGAATTTCTTCGAGCATTTGTGGGACAATCTTCCCATTTCCGTCCGTTTGCTCGCCAGGTTCCGATGATTGGACTTTCTCGATTCCGGATGACGTATCATTCTTCTCGCAATGGGATTCCCTCTTCAGCCAGGGCGCTTCTTTATGCGTCGCGCAGAGGACGAAAACGTGCAGTATCACCCCACTGAGGATGAGTACTGTGCCCTGGAAACCATATTCTCCCAGCAGGTAGGTAATGAAGATCGGAAAGATGAAACCGGCCGTCGTCGAGCCTGCGTAGTTCAGACCGAGAGCAAGCCCTCTCATCTTCACGAAGTACTGCTGAAGAAAAATGACATTGATCGTGTACACCGTGCCCATGCCGCTGCCGAAAACGATTCCGTAGGTGAACGTCAGCCATGTCACGCTTGGCGCAAAAACCGACCCAAGCAATCCAACGGACATCAGCAACGAGCCGCAGAGGATCACCGGTTTCGGCGAGAATGCCTGAGCCAAGGGCCCTGAAACCGTCCCTGAAAAGTTTCATTGTGGGAGCCTTAATCTTTCCAGTTGGTTCTAATAAGAGCGTGATATCCTCGTCATTCATCGAATATATGAGTTAAACTCGGGGAATCGTTTGTTTCTCCGATTTCCAATACCGAAATTAATAATCCATACCGATTAGACTGAGCATGGCCCCTGCGAGCGAGACGGGCCACGCTGCTTCCTCACGCGTGACCCCGAAGTGATTCATGATTCCCACATACATAACGCCGGAGGACCGAATGTTGCCTGGAATCATGCAACTCATCTTAACCATTTCAGTCTCGACTCATCTCGACCATTGGGGTCCCTGGGCTTCCTCCCTCAGGATCCTGAATCACTATCACTTCCTCCATTTTCCGCTGAACAACTAAGCGAGCCCATGCATGGGATGCTTCAGAGTTCCTGAGACCAGTCGAATGTGCGAGAGTTCGATATTGTGAATTGTGACCATCGGAGACCTTCCCCGGAAAAAATAGGCGTTCCGTACAAAATGAATCAGCGAACTCGGTTCCGGATCGGCATCTCGCCTCCCTTGTCACCACTCCAGGAACCCGGATGGTACTCACCGGCAGTCAGCGCCATGATGCTCATGCATTTCAAAGCAACCCGGATGCCCTGCCAGCTGTCAGGGCCCGTACTCGGAAGCTTGACACAAACCATTCTGGGGTTAGAGCTCTTGTCTCCCTCCTCCCGAATATGTCTGATATCCTGTTGGGAAGATTTTCAGGTCCGGATCCCTCTGTGAGAACTCTGGAGCTTCTTCCGAATACCACAAATGATAGCAGAGTAGCCCTTCGGAAGGGGAGTCCGAGCGCTTTCGCCGGTGATCGAGGGAGCCACAGTTTTCATCGAGAAGCACCAGCTTACAAGAGCATGTCCGACAATATCACCGAAAGTAGCCAGCTACTGTCTTCGAAGATGTTCCAGAGAGGCTGTCTGGCGGGCCGCCGAGAGAAACTCGACATCATGTCGGCGAGGAGGCACTAAAGAATGACTTTACAGCAACTAGGTGACTTGACGAATTTAGACAGATACAGTCGTCCGTTCCGGGAGCGTTCACTCACGAGCGCTCGTCTAGAGATTCGCTCACGGCTTCTCTCCCGTTGGGGCTCTCATCATAATGAAAAACGTCCACAGGAATCCATCTTCGTGAAGCTTGATCCTCGGCGACTGCCTGGCGAGCCGTAGTATTCAGACACGACGATCGGCTCTCTCAGATCGAACAGAGCCACCGGAGTCAGTCATTCCCTTGAGCTCCAGGTTCCAGGTTCTTGGATTCGACTTCGGAAATCAGTTGGGAAAGGCTCCAACTTGAGTTTGCCCGGCGAGTATCGCGGCGTCTAAGGAGGTCCGTGAAACGTCTCTCCGCGGGCAGAGAGTCGTCCATTGGCGATGAGCACTGTATTCTGGAAGCTGTTGCTTACTCCGGAATCAAGGAACCTCTCAAATTCGACTTGAACTCCATCTCGGTGTCCTCACACAAGAACTGGCCGGGGAGTCTTGCTAAGCTCGCTATGAATTTCACCTGACGAGAAGCGTGCGAACGGAAATTCGTAGGCTTGCTGAGTATCCGGGCGATTATCGAGGTCGACGGGAAGCGGACCGATCGAAAGCTGGAGCTGAAAGTCGATTCTTTGCAGCGTGCGTCTATTGCCGGACGCCTTCCATGGTGCTCTGGCTGATTAGTCGCGCGGCGTTCGAGGTAATTTGACCCTATGACGTCGAGAGGCGCCGAATGGTCATTTCGCCGCAATCAGTTTGATCTAACACGGATGTGTTCGACGCTCTTACCCTCGCTTGCCCGGTCGAGCGCTCGATCGCTCGCTGTTTCCTTCCCCTCCTGGTAGGGAGTACCCTCCTCCGGGCAAGATCATCGGTGCCATCCTCCGTGAACGAAGGAATCTTCGGAGGCTGACTCACATGGGTATTTTAAGTTCTTCCCTCTGGAAGCTGCCGAGGTTCTCGAACACCATCCTTCCGCTTCACGTTGACGATAATTCTGCATTTTGGAGGCCTCCTTTTCCGTCACCACAGAATGTTGAAGGAGCCTCTTACGAGCCCGCAACGCTGTGTTGGTGACTCTCGGGTCGCTCTAAGATCACCTTGAGCTTAGCCATTCGGACGCTCCCCGAACCTTACGATGTACACTTACGTAGGAGCTTTGAGAGAACTTCCCCCAGCGGAACGGGCGATTCCCGACTTCCCATTATCTCGTGCGATGGATTCATCAACTCTCTCCTGAATGATTTGGGTCTAACATTTTTGGTTGCCTTTTGAGGACATTGCGACGGCATACGAAATGTATCACTAGTTGCCAGACTCGATCGAGACCGTCGGGAGTCTTCGTTTCATCTCGATCATGCGGCATGCAGTTTCTGAAGAGCGGATACTTCTTTCGTGATGTATGAACACAGGGAATCGGCTAGAAACTTGTTATTTCAGGAATTTATCCTATGATTCCAGACTCCTGCAGTCCTCTGGTATCACTCACCACGAATCAGACGACTCCAAGATGGGTGGAGAGGAGGAGTTGCCCATTGGATACTCTCCGTGTATCTTTGGAAACATGTGACCGTGTATCTCCGTGTATTCTTCGCGTGAAGTCAATATTATCTGCTCTAGGATATATTGATGTTCTGTTCCTCCCGCGTCGGTTAGTCGCTCCCCCAGCACGGAAATCTAGAATTCATTGAATCATGCCGCATGATTCATGCGGCTTACGTGGGGAATCCAGCCCGGATGCTGAGAGTGGGCTATCTTAATATCGGTCCTCATACTTCTTCCTTCGGAGGGAGAAGCATTCTGGAAAATGATTCAATCTCTCAAGCCGCGGGAGGATTTCTTCATCATACATAGATGAGCGGCATTCCACGGTACAATGCTCGAACAATATTCCTCCGATAAGTACCGGTCGTGCATTATTCTTGTCTTGCAATCCTGGTCGTCCCGTCCGTCTACATGAGAATGAACAGTCAACAGAGAGCACACCGTGTGCTGTGCGCGGTGAACGACGAAAAAACAACACTTGAACGCCCCTGTAATTCCCCGCTTTATGATTCGCGCGGACATTTATTGGTTTGCTGGCATGTGCGTCGGAGACTTCGCTCAGCGATGGCAGTTTTCCGCTGATACAATACGTTACTCCACGTCGGAACTCTCAGTGCTCGTCGTCACCACCTACGTCGATCTCTCTACCTGGAACTGAGGTGACCGCAAAAGTTCCGTAGAGAGAGAGTTCCATAGCCCTGCTTCCATAGAGATATGTAATTGAGATGAGAGGGCGGAAACTTTTTCACGCACCCTCAAAGTATCATTCTCAGTATGATGAAATGTCGAGGCCTCGGAGGAGCCTCGGAGGAGAATATCGCTTTGTTTCATACCATGCTTTGATACAAGTGTTCGGCGTCTTCCGGAAACTTCTCCATACGAGATTGGGGGTTCTGGCTCGACACCCGGCAGACTCGGATCATCACAAATGAATGAAATGATTGGGTGTGACGACTTTTCGGACGAATTCCAATGGCTGCCTATATATATGCGGCCGTGCTATCCGTACTGAACCTCCGCCGCATACTCGCAAAGTCTTCGACGATTTCCATGGGATCAGTATTGATGTGCTCATCAATTCTATTGGAGATCGCCGAGAGTTTCCGACCACGATCTGTAGTTCGGTGGAAATACCACGTGATCAGCCAGCTGGTACTAGAAACGGCTGTCAAGACGCCGCACACGTTGTACATCATCGAGTAGTTCCCGAAAACGTCGCGGAAGAGACCTTCGAGGGAAGAAGAGAATCTCTTGAAAGTTTCTCCGAAAAAAAAGCTCTCAACTAGGGGCGAACGAACTTCGTCGGGATCAAACTTGTCGGCGATTGGTGACAAGAACGGCTTTGCAACGAAAAGAGGAGAGCCGACTTACCAACGAAGAATGGCTTTGTAAAATACGACGAGCCGACGATTAGGCCACTGACGCCGTAGGCCATTGGCAGCCGGGAGAGGCCGACCAATTCTGCCATAAGAACTCCATACATGACGAGAGAAGTTCCGATCCCCGTACTCTGGATCATGGCGACGAGCGCGATCCAAAAGAATTCTCCTGTCGCTGCCGCCATAGGCAGCAGGAAGAAACAGACGCTCTGCAGAGCATACGCGAAGCACTGCAAGAGCATTTTGTTGACGTAACCCCGATCGCCGAGCTGCGGCAAAATGAGTCGAGCGACCATGTCCGTAGCAGAGTACAGGGGAACGATTGTCGTCGCTTCGATCATCGGGATGTCTTGGTCAACGATAAAGTCGATTATCGTGGTCGCGTAAGCGTCGTAGGCGTACATGAACAGAGTGAAACTGAATACGATCACCAAAAACTCAGGGATCTTCAAGACATTCAGACTCGATATCAGGGACGCTTTTCGGCTCGGAGAATTCGTTTGATTCACCTCAACCTTCGGTGCTTCACCGAGGGGACGGCTCGTCTGTGGAGTCGATGTCACGCACTTTGGACGAGACCTTGTTCCTGGCAATGAAGGGATCCGTGGCTTTTGCGGATTGAGCTCTAGCTCTCTGTTCGCGGCACTCGAGTCTACCGCATTCCCGAGTGATTTTCTTGGGGCTCTCCGTGCCGGTTCCCGAACTTCGGCAAAAACCTCTCCCGACTCTGGGATCGAGCCGAGCCGCTCTGGAACAATTCGCCTCCCCCCCTGGGCGATCGACTCCGCTCCCAGCGAGGCTGTTCTGTTGATGACTGATTCCTTGCCGCTTGATCCTGTTTCTAGCCACGGTGCTTCCTTGTGGGTCAGAGACAAGACGAATATGTGCAGCAGTAATCCACTCAGAATGAGTACTGCGCCTCGGAAGCCATATTCCTCCAGCAGAAATGTCAATAAAACCGGAAATATGAGACCGGCGATCGTCGATCCGGTATAGAACAAACCGAGAGCTAGTCCTCTCATGTTGACGAAATATTGCTGAAGAAAGATCACATTTATCGTATATACTGTCCCCAGGCCGCTGCCGAAGACGAAACCGAAGGTGAACGTCAGCCATTTCACATCCGGTGCGAAAACCGAAGCCAACAATCCGACGGACACCAACAGAGATCCAAATAAAATCACCGGCTTCGGCGAGCAGGCCTGCGCCAATGGACCCACCACCATTCCTGGAAAGAGAACAGTGTTAAATAATCAGTGATTTTGAAGCTACTTCAGACCCATGAGGTGAATTTTCCGATCCGGAATGCGATTCGCGGAACGATCTAGGCTCTCTTATGATATGCGCAAGTCGTCGCTCCCTACCGATAAGACTGAGCATGGCCCCGGTGAGCGCTATGGGCCAGGCAGCTTCTTCACGAGTGGCACCGAAATGATCCATGATCCCTATGTACAAGACACCAGCCGCACGAACGCTGCCTGTAATAGAGAGATCCATATCTTCGAATGCCATGATGAATCACTATATTCGATTCTTTTGTTACGTCATCAGAAGGAAGTATCAAGTCGACGGCACATAAGCGAAAAGGATGATCATAAATCATGACACCGAGTTTCTTCCGGGTCTGCGTCCGAAGGCTGATTTCCGAACGTCTCTTTCATCAGGACGAATCATGTTGTGAATGGGATTCGAACAACTATGGTCCCACCCCGCTGACTATGGGCCCGAATCCCCGCAAACAACGCGTCCCTCTACTTTTTTCGGCAGGAATGTTCGCTGGAAAGTTGGGTGCCTTTTGGATCGGTCGCGGCCCTGCATCGTCACGACTTCACGAACTGATGGAAACTCACCGGCCAGCAGCATCATGATGCACATACACTTCAAAGCAACCCGAATGCCCAACCAACTGTCGGGGCCTGTACTCGGTAAACTTATCCAAGCCATCCTTGGTTGATTTATTTCCCGTCTTCGCACAGCTGATCAGGGTCGAGCTCGCGCAGGAATTTCTTACTTCTCGGGATCAGAGCTCCGCTTTCTGATCAATCCGAGGACAAAAAGCGCTCCCGCTTGGAACAGGGGTCCCTAATCACAGATCTGTAAACCTGCGACGATGCTCCTTAGAGTAGTTATCGGCTGCTCTCTCACAACCTAACTATTGCGTGCCGCCGGCGAAAAGTCGACTTTATGCCGCGGAGGACGCGCCTGGGATTGACCTTATAGCAATCAGGCGACGCCGACAGGGCGAGTTCGAGACAGAAACGATTGCTCTCCGAATGACTCACTAAGCCGTCCTTCCGAAGGGCAGTCCTCATCACGACGAAGATCCAGCAGGATCTATTCTCTCGACGGCCGTTCCAGCTCGGTAAAACGGAAGAATCGACGTCGGTGTAGTCTTTCCAGTGAGTCTCGAGTTTCGAGCTCTCGGACCCTGTGTTGGAAATATAAATTCATCTCTACGACCCGAGTACTCTCTGAAATCACTCTCTGTCCTCTGGGTGGGGACGTTTCAGTAAAACCAGAGCCCCCTCCTAGTAAAACACCGGCATCTCCCTCTCCCGCAATCTACTTGATTTCATTTCGCCAGGAATGGATCTGATCTCTCTCCTGAAGCAATGAAGCGATCTCTCATTGGTCTATTCCTCACTCGGACGAGAAACGCACCGATATTCGTGTCGGGACTCGGAGGCTCGACTTTTAACGATCCTAGACTCATAAGGAGTGGAACTTCCGCCTCAGACTCGTTCGTCATCTCCCAGCCGGGAACATCGACGATTAGGATAATCAATGGGCGACAATCCTCTTAGCTCATAGAAATTCAGGAGTTGATATTTGAACATCAATCCGCCCGGTCTTCTATTTCCTTTCCGGTTTTTTTTCGAGTGCCCCCGCCCCTTCGAAAGAGGCTCGTATCGGGGCGGATCTCCTGCAGGAGACGAGCTTCCGACCATCTCGCCGCAGGAATCTTGATGATCAAGTCGGCGATTGAAGGCCATCGATCCCCTGAGCGGGTACTCATGCCTGGGACTGATTTCGGATTGCACAACACCATTGTCACCGGAAAAAGCAGCAAAGAATAAGCAAAACTAGGCAGCCATCATAGCAATTCTCGAAAATATTGCGGTCGGGTACCGCATCGGATGGGGGGCTTCTATATTCCCCATTACTTGCATTGGGCGTACGAGGTTGAAATGTATTCTCGAGTCAGATCTTCTATTGTTATAGACACTGTACACAGAGCGCGGAATGAGATGCCTGGGAGAGACTAGTGTACATACGATACATAGTATAGGTATGTGGTTTGAGGTGGACAGCTTGCTGCTATTCCGATCTACTCTTTCTCGATTGGATGCCCTGGAAAGCAGAACCGAGCTCTCCCTTCACTCGGTAACTCTGTATCTATTTGCACGAAAGGACCTTGGACACCTCCGGAAATCTTTTTCGTAGTTTACGACTCTGTAGCCGAATCGGCTCGATTTTCAAAGCGGCGGCCGATTCTCAAAAGACCGCCTGTTTTGGCGCTCGGTTGGGTTTCTCTCACAGCTATCTGACTCGCGAGGAGGTCTTTCACTAATGGTTCGATATTCGTTAGAGGTGATTGGTCTCCGACCGAATGTAGAGACGTTTGCCTCTCGATCCTACCTTCTCGGTCCTGGTCAAGACTTAGTGCACAAGATTATCTAGTTCCATAGCCTACGAATCAGGGATGCTGGATTCTGACTCGCTCCTCATACGCTTCCGTGAGCAGTTAAATCCGAGAATTCGGATCTTGGTCGGGAATGGAACAATGAGCGATTGTATTCTGGCTCCAGCTGGCTTCATATAGCGTCGGTGTCGCCTCTTATTTTTTCAGTCCATTATTTTTGTGTAGAAACTGAAACGAGGCTCCGGACAACCTTGAAGAGCCTGCCGACCGGGAGAGGGAGCCCATATGAGAGGGGATTTTCCCTCTACGTGATACAGGGCGTCGGTGAAAAGCTAGAGGACATTATTTCTTCAAAGAATGTTCCGTCCGCGACCGGAAGTTTCCCCGCGCTTCCCCGCGCTACTCGCTTCCTCGAGGACTGGAGGTGTTTTTCGAGGGAAAAGCCTCCTGCGAAACGATATTTCTCGAAATTGTTTCCAGAGCTATAAAACTCTTTTGTGCGATGGACAAAGCCAAGAAGCGGGGGAAGAGCCATGGCCGCAGTCGAGAAAATTTTCTGTCATCAGTTAGGCCATCGGCGCTCAAATTCGGACCATCTGTGTCGGGGTGAATGATGATTTGCGCTTCAAATAGTTCCGAATCGACGGAGGATCTCGACCTCAAGCCGTCAACCTTCCAAAGACCGGAGCATCACTTTTCGAAAGTTTCTTGTTCTTCCCTCTCCAGGATCGGCTTCGAGGATCCTCGGTCCCCGATAAGCGGAACCAATGCGATGTTGCTTCACAAACCATAGTCCACGTGACAATGATGCCGGAGGTATTCCGCGTAGTTGTCAGGGGACGAGCGCGGAACGGGCTCCGCGAGCGCCGAAATGCCGTCGTTACTTGACGCGATGCTGAATCTGTGGACATCGTGCCTATTGAAATTCATCGAATGGGACGCATCAATAGGCAATGAACCTTTCACAACCCGGAACAATGCGGACTCCGCTGGCTCTCGGCCCATCTGAGACTCTGACGTAAACTCATCCAACGAGAGAGCTTTCTGCGGGAATCTAAAAACGTCCTGGAGGACTGATGAGCTCCCGGAACGACATTATTGTCTTTCACAAGAATGAGAGTGAATTTACCGATGGATCCTCCCATCGATGTCAGTGAGATTCTCAGCTGATCGTCGCGACGACGATTAATCTGAACGACTGATCAGAAATCCCCAATCCAGAAACCGTGGTCGATACCTAAAGGCGGAACCCGGATCACGGGGAATCACTCGAGATCAAATCGGACAGTCGTTTGAGCCGTTCGATCCGTCGCTTGTTGAACTATTCAGCCCCAGAAGCCTGCAATGAATTCGATACCGGAGCCCAGAATGATCCGTGGAAAATACAGGGGAAAATCGTCGATCCTGTTCATCAGCGCTCATGAGAATTCATCAGAGGTGATTCACTATGACCTCTCTCTCCTCCGATCATAAGTCCGCTGACGTGTTACTGATAGGGGAGAAATCCGGGAGGGCTTGAATTGAGGCGACAAGAGGTTTTCGCGGCATGATCGCATGCAAGGAATCGATCCGAGATATGTAGAAGATCTTCCAAGGTTTGCGCAGGAGTCGCGACCTCGTTCGGTTGTCTAGGGTCGTTGCGAAGACTTTCCCACCACAAACTCGATCAGTCTTCGCGCGGTGGATTGGGGCGCACGCGAGAGAGTTGTCAGATGCCACGCAGCCTGATTCGAAACTCGATAAGCAGCGACATCCACAAATTGAGTCGCATCTCGAGGAATTCTACTCTTAGGGTGTCCGAAAACACTTTGAACCCCAAAAATACCTCCGCGTGCCAGCCGACACAGGTACAGATTTATTGGAGCAGGAAAATAAATTATCATTTGCGCTTGTTCTGCCTGACTTCTTCCCGTTTCCCCAGTTTCCACTCCGCAGGCAAATCTGTACTCCTCAAGCAGCTTCAGAGCGAGCGACGAACGAATCGGACTTCAGACGGACGAGCAAATGCGGGCGTTTTTTGAGCTTTTCGAATCGAGGGCGTTCTTCACATCAATCACGCAGCGCTCAGGACTTTTTCCGGACGTCGTAAAGCGCGGCGCCACCGTAACTATGTCCATAGAAGGACGCCGGAATCAGCGAGCTTAGGTGTCTCGTCGATATAACTGAAGAAACTCCGGAATCGCCTGTGATGGAAACTAGATGATCTGATTCGTGTCCCAACTCCACCACCGACGGAGCATGTATGACAGCCGGGGTGTACGGAAGAGCGTTCCGAATTGCGGGATGGATCTCCGACGCTGGCCCGCCGACCACAGAAGCCACGGTAGGAGTGAGGAGCGTGTTCACCAACGGAATATCCTGGCGAAAGCTCCGGGCGAGTCCGGAGTCCAGCGGTCCGAAATGGGCGGCGTGTTGGAGTGCGGGCGCGTAAAGGGTCGTTTGAAACGCTGGAATCGTGGGGTCGAACCAGTCGGGTCGAGTAGCTCCAATCTGGCGGAAGGTGGGTCCGTGCCGGATGTGGGTCTGGTAATGACTAAGCGCGGGAACGTACGCTGCACTCTGAACGACGGGGTGAAGCAGGGACGGCTGAAAGTGAACGCAGAATTTAAAAACAGATCCGTTGTCACATCGAAGCAGCTTCAGACAGCAATATGTCAGAACTCAGATCCGCGACCTGCTTCCTGTCAGGAGAGAAGTATTTTCTTCATTTATTGAACGTCCCGAGTTCTGACGTCATCGGACAAGTATATAAGTTCGGAGTGAAGTAAGTGAGTGGGATTCTTATCGAGAATCATTGCGCGTTACAGACTTCTAAAGACACTGTACGGTTGTGAGGAGCTCTCCTGAGTCAACAAGCATCTCAGCAAACAATACAAAGTTTGCTCTCATCTGCCGAGCGGACAGCGCGAGGAGGTTGGGGCTTGTGGCAAAGATAGCAGGAACTTCTCCGCATTCACTCTTCGTTCACTTGGGGTTTTCTCCTTCCAGAATCCCTCTCGCTCGTTTTCTCTTTGTTAGGGAGGTCCGCGGTGGCGGTTCCGATTCGAAATACGGGGCTCTATTCTCCCGGAGACATCGATGCTTGGATTCAGGGAAAATTCCCCCATACCGAAAGAAGCATTCGACGTCCCTTATGAAAAGACTCCTTCGGAATGGATAACTCCAGGGTCGAGTACGTAATATTCGTTCAGTCATCGATTACTGTCACCGAAGCGAACTCACAGATCCGAAGGAGAAGTCCAGTAGCGCCCCGACACGGTAAACGCATAGTCCAACGAGCAAGAATCTTCTTACGCTCTGAAATGAACGGAATCTTGAGGAGACAATCTGACTATCTGACAATCTGTCGAGATTTCGAATAGATACATGAGTGTCAGGCATGGAGAAAGATTGACAGCGATAACACAGGATCTCGGCCATATGCTCGTCCTCTATTACATGAAGGGGCACTATTCGTGTTGACCAGTTGTTCCTCGAGAGGTGTTTCGACACAAGGCCCTGGTAATCATCACTGCGATTCTGTATGTACACTCAGCGTTCAAGAGGAGCCCCCGAAAACGCACACGCGAATAATGCACAAGGGCTATGTTTAGGCGGTCTTGGCCTTTTTCAAAGGTTTCGTCCCTCGGCTGACCGCTGGGCTCCTGCTGAGTGGCATCCACGAAGAGCAGAAGGTCGAGTACGAACCCTCCAATTTCGAGGGTGTCCCTCTCACGCACCTCTGCTCGAAGGGTGACTGCATCCTTCGCTTAGCTCGTCAACTCGCCCGCACGAAGGCAAACTCGAAGTCGAAACTCACCACGAAAACCATCGTCCAAACACGAAGCTCCCCTCGAAACGAATCGAACAAAATCTGCGCCAATGAGCTGCTTACAGCTGTTCGTGCACTCCTCGGAGCTCAATGATTTTTTCTAACAGAGCAGTAGCAGCAAATGATGACTGTAACTCTGGCGACGAGGTACAAGATCGTTCTCTTATCTCCAGATTGGTCCGCCCTTTCGCTCAATACGTGAGTTCGGAAAAATGTGGGCAAGTGCAACTGCGCTGCATCGTTTAGCCGACAGCTCGTCAGAATACCAACTAGCTTGATCTGACTTGAGAAAACAGTGTTCTATCGGATTTGAACTCTTTGTTCTGTTTTTTTCAGCTCGCTCTAACGCACGTCGCTGATTTCATGATCACCTTTGATCCGCGACGATTGAATCGCGGGACTCGAATCTCCTGGCTGGAGGTGACTGGCGAGTATTCTGGATCGGAATTTCATCTATTCGATCCACGGGTTCGGGAGCTCTATTCTCGTCCGCTGTGTCGTCTCGATGTCGGACCGGAAGCTAAATGAGCGGAAGGATACGTCTGCGTCATATGACCGACTCGCCTCTTCACTACAAGCCGATCGGAGTGACCGGCGGGACCTTTTTCCAATATAGTTTCTAAATATTGCTCGGCCTTGGCCTTGAAGAGCCTTGATCCGTTCTGTTCGTGAGATGACTAGCCGCCCATGGCGGAAACGCCCGCCCGGTCGGGATGGAAACGATTCCGACAGGCATCTGGCCGGTCGGGGGAATCTCGGCACCCTCGTGGATGTCCCAATTCATCCAATCGGGAGAGTTTTGTTCGTTTTCCTTCTGAGAAGGGAGAACATGGTAGTCAGTGGGTGGAATTAAGCTGCGACTCGTGACTAGGAACAGGAACCTACAGAGAGGACGACGGACGAGAATCGCAACCGCTTCTGAGGAAAACTCAAGGCGGACGCAGTTTCATCACCGAAACCGGTTTTGCGGGTCCTGGAATGGACACGAGCGCACTGAAGTCGGTCGGAGAGGTGTCGCCGATGTTTACAGAGAGGAAAGCGTCCACCGTAATTGGATCGGAGCCGCACAGTATACCAGGAGTTTGTGTTCCGAAGATCTACGCGCGAGTAAATACCAGGGTCAAATGAGATACGCGAATCCGAATGTACGTCAACCGTGTCTACGACTGATTTGTCTGAACGACAAACGCTAACCACCGACCGCCGCAGTGTGCGTTGCCCCGACAGCCGCCGGCAGTGGATTTGGCAGAGCGAGCCGCATCTGGGCAATGAATGACGTAAAACAAGAGAACCTCCGAACAACAACAGCGCCGGCGACGCCGACGACAACAACAACAATCACGGTCGTGGCAACAACTAGAGCAAATATCGAACGTACAAAGTTTACATTCCCTCTTTTTCCGGGCTAATGACAATGGCTTGTTCGTTCGCAGCACGGTGCCTGCCTCTTTGTACTCTTGTTTCTAGCGTTCGAGCCCCCCTAGGAGCTCGCTCGCTCGTTCCGGTGTGCGTTCTGTTTGCCTGCGATCGCTCGGTGTGGTCAATTGTAAAAAGTGCAGTGACCTAAACAAATGTCCCTGGCCGGCGAACTTACTTCCAGCTAATGCTCTGCGCAGTCCACAGCGATCTCGTTCGGGCGAGGCTTTTCCTCGGGGCTGGTCCGCATTTTCCTCGTCGCTCGCTCGAACCTGGCGGCCGTGATTCCCTCGTGGCTCTCGGACTTTTCGAGCACAAAAGGAGAATAGAAGGGAAATCCAAGCGAAAGAAAGAATCCAGTTCAATTGTCTCTCAATTGTCTGCGATTCTAGCCTGGAGTGAGCTCTCCCGAGGATTTCTGCTATAGATTTGATTGTGTTGGGAACGGCTTCGGATGAGAATCTCGTCCGGATACAGTGTCCCCCGCGTAAATTACGGAGAGATGGAATCCCGCGAACGGTGCGATTTCGAGAGACGTATTGCAGGGATTCTCCGAGAAGAAGGATACAGGTTTCCAGTAAACCGCGGGCTTACGTGTGAGGAGCGAACAAGTCAAACTCCACCTTCGAGCCGAGGAAAAGAGGTGACGTGGCTCGCAACTCCTCATCGACCTGGAATGTTCGATTCTCGGAATTTCTACAGAGTCTCAAAGCAGCTATTTTGAAATCCCCACAGCTGCACGTCGACACACTCGATCGATCGGAACGATTCCGTATGTACGTACGTATTTCATCCGTCGTCTCAAACATTCGAGAGTTTCCTCATTACAAGAGCGTTATAAGGCTTCCCGGAGCTTGACGGCAGAGTACTAAATCCTTGGGATTCGAAAAGGCTTAGAGACGATTCGACGGAAACATTGAGAGCACTTCTAAATTGCTTCGAGTTGACCACTATTCCAGAAAGCGGAGCGGAGTCCGCCTCGGAGTAGCCGCACTGCAGTGAAGATTCGAGAGAGGAGTCTTTCCCAATCACGGATCCTCTAGAGGCGACGGATGGGACTCGAGACACTCCGGTGTCCGTAAGTAATGAATTAAACTCGGGAGTCGGTCTCTCAGGAAGCGAACACGGACTCTTGGGGAGAAGTTCAGACATGTTCGCATTGATCGCCTTGATAGTCGAAGAATATATTCTCAGGGAAACCACGACGATACGTAATCGTCTTTTAATGAATTTCGAACTATGACTCAATCGTTTACGACACTCGAGAATGATCGTATCGCTCATAATCGATTATAATCTGTGACATCAGTGAATCGGTAATAAATCGAGCAGCTAAATATTCTGAGTTCCTTCCCGCGTCTTCATGCCGCTTGTCTCCGTCCTCGCTATTAATTGAAACATGAAAGCCGCTGACGGATTCGCCCGGATCATACGTGCCGCGCCGCACCGCGTAGCACGCGGTTTCTGTGAACGGAATTCCGCGGATGACTGGTAAAAACCCGATCTAGCTTAGGGTTCCGGATGGATTATCGATAGTTAGCAATAGCACGAAATTGCCCCACGTTCGGATGACTGGCACGTGTGAGGCAGACGGAAGGAAGATCGCTGTCATGATGACCTTTGGAATTTCAATAAACTTTTCGACGCCGCCGCTCCCTGAATCCGTAAAGGCGATTCTGGGTAAAATGAACATTATCAGTCGGCATCGACGGCATTCGCGGCAATCCCCTCTCAACGGTGGCGAGAACGACCCTCGATCGCGAGGGGAACGCTTCTGTCTCTCGACGGGACCGATTTCTGAAAATTCGTATGTTTCCTGGAAATTTCCCCGTCACGCTCGAGCGGGGAAAATCAAAACCTCGACTGAATTCTCGCGTCCAGTCGAAACGAATAGTATACATACGTCTTGCGCACGTGAAGGCTGGGTTTCTCCGCGACAGTGAGATGGTTGTCAACCAGCGGTGGGCAAACACAACATGAGGCGTGCCGCTGAATGGAGAAGCTCCTGAATGAGGAGCCTACCCTCCACGAATCGTCCACATTTGCCCCCTCGATATAAAGAGAACGAATGACTGGCTACCTCTGGGGAACCGTAACTTGTGTTCCCACTATTTCAACTCACACTCGGTCTCTTTGGAGGGTTCCGGCAGCAAACACCAGGAGAGCACATACCCCGGCGAGCTCCTGACAGACGGCGTACTGGTGCCGCGAATAGCATATTGCGATTAAGAGCTGCATTCCAATCTCGGCTGCGGGCGAAAAAAATCAGGGAAAAGCCTGAGCTCACGAAGACTTTTGTCAACTTTTCTCCGTCCGCGATTGGATTACTTTATCGAGAAAGAGAGATAATTTCGAAAATTTTCCACGGTGACCACCCTTGCTTCAGAGACAAGAATTCCTTGGGGGACGTCCACGTCCACGCTCGTGGACCTGGTCAAGATGCTCCGGCTGTTCTGCTCCAAACCGTGGAGCATTCAAAAACCTCACATGAGTCTCCCCATGGCAGTGAACAATTCAAGGGAAGAATTTATTACGGGTTCATGCATTCCGCCGTCAGCGTTCGACGGAGGCGACACTGGAACGCCCGGCGGCGGCGTAGAAGTTTCCGCGCAGATATGGCTGTGGAATGTTTCTCCTGAAGAATCGCCGACGGAAGCTTATCGGTTAATGCGTCGACGTTACCGGTGTACTCCTCGGTCATATCACCAAGCTGGAGGAGATCTGCGGTCAGAAGCGCTACTCGGCGACATTGATGAATTGAAGGCGCACGAATAATGATTCGCCACGTCAATGAGGAAATGAACGGGATGAGGGAATGAACGAACGCGGTGGAAAAGTTCGCCAGAACAGCGAGAAACGCGACGACGATCTTTCTATACGTCGCTCGAGGCGCTAACTGAAAGTGTTAGCGTGATGAGAGCTCTATCGACGACAGATTTCACTCGCATCGATTCCTCGATTCCAGTCTGGATGTTGGTGCCTATGTATGTCTGACGTGCTGCAGAGCGGAAGGATGTAGTCTGAATTCTGCGTGGGTAGAACACACCACGTCGCGACGCATGCTTTTCGGCAATTCCATGGAACGGGACTCAACTCAGGAGATGGTTCCGTCGGATCATCCAGCCCAACTCAGCTAAAAGCGGAGCGTGGAATGAACGGTGCATCTGAACTCGGATGTATGTATATGAAGTATTCGTTCTCTGAAGGTCACCGGAGCGTGAACAGAATAATTTTGGGTAAAACACACAATCTCTTGAGGCAAACGCCGGGCCGTCCTGTGGAATCAACACGCATTCAACGTTATGAACGTTGAGTTCAGGCCAGACCCACCGGGGCTTCGAACCCTAGAGTCGTTCAACTTAAACGAATAATACGGACGGAGGCACGTGATCGTGATTAGTCCGCAATATACGTTTCGGACGTGGGTCATAGCGCTGATGGTCGCGGCTCATAAAACGCATCAACGAAAGTCGACCCGGGCAAGAAAGCCGGGGACAGCTGAGCGGGCGTTAGGTGCGATTCACAGCTCATTATGGCGGAATGATGAGTCAAAGGCCGATGACACGATGACAATCACGTAACCACGTACGAACTCGCTGGCGAGTGATGCACGAAATGAGCGTTTCAGAAGCTCTCGAATAGACGGCTGCCTCACCTGATCGCTTCCAGTTGAAATGTCACGCGTGGAGCCTCTGAAACTTCGGCCGATCCTTCATATTCTC